GTCTTTACTTATTATTCCGCAGAGGATATAGGTTACCTCCACGCAGAGCTGTCCATAAGGATTGACTTAATGGACGACAATCCTATCATTACGAAAATGTATACCCAGTGTCTCATGTTCACCTTAGGGATGCATTTGGACCTCGGAGGTAGACAATTTATTAAAATAAAGTGTCATTGTACCTTCAGTATCTTCATATTGTTCACAGTAGTCAGTTGGTTTAGGAAGGAGGATATATTCCATTATAGATTGCTATTGACTTCAGAGGCCGTTAAGGCTGTAACTCGGTGGGATACTGTGGCTATGCCTGTTAACAATAAGATAGTTGATCTACACTAATTTTTATGGACGCGCTTCCTTCTTTTCATGAGTATTAGGATATGGCACAGGGATATGCGCATCAAGTGAAGTGTTTTAGATACATTCTTCTAAAGCAGTAACGCTTTTTCCTACACACCACAGGACTGGATGCATGTATAGAACTATGCCCTTCGAGTTTGGTAACTGCCAGGTGCTTAATCCTAGTGAGACTGATGAGAAGAAGGTCTAGGGTTAATATGCCAAATGTTTTCAGTTTATTTTGATAATCATTGAAGCGTAATGACATCTAAGTGGGGCGAAAATATCCAAACATTAACATTAGTTTTGCGTAGGTTATGCCTCACATGAGATACTCGATGCCAAGCCGAAGAAATCCATTCGCTTGGGTATAAGCAACGATTAGATCATCTTGGAGACCTGATACTTTTAATAACACTCGCGAGCCCTCTCCCAGTAGATCAAAGCTTTGATTAGAATTTAAATTCCCCAAAAATCCAAGATGCTCATGCGAAGCATTCTTGGTTCTCTGGTAAATTTTTATGCGACGGTTTATCCCGATCTTACTGGTCTTACAGGCAATCTTATGGAACTGCCTTTGAAAAGTCTTGTGAAGGAGACCCCTTGGACTTTCCGGAGTCGTAGATCGCGGCGAAAAGGTTTAATGAGATTAAAAGTATCTTCGGAAGTACCATGTACTTAAGATTCCAGATATTTATAAAACATTTTGTTATTGAAAACTGTGCCTCACAATTACTGGCTTAGGTGCAGGTATTACTTACAAATACCATGATGGTACTCCTTCCCTGTATGTGCTTTCCTAGCTGAGAAACTGCCTTCCGCAGAAACAAGGAACTCCACAATAGAAAAGGAAATGTTTAGCCCTGTGGTGGGGTATCTCTCAAATACGTATAGGAATGCTTATTTCCTGGGAAAGATTCATTTATGAAACGGTACACAAACCTTTGAATACTAGATGAAACTTTTAAGGGAAACTCCAAACAGTCGGCCTCTTGATGCGTGGAACATTGGCACTCCAGGCTTGTTTAAGGTTCCATTATTGTGTGTATCAATGGTTCTCATCCATTTATTTCTCTGACTGGTTAAGTCGTGACAGTCAGTAGAAGATTTGTTTGCCTTGTAACGTCGAACTTCCACATGGTTGTAGAACTTTTTCCTCGCCCTATTCTTCTTATACTCTCCTTCTTGACTATAAAGTCTTGGTATGGCGGGTAGTCATAGTGTGAAGGGTGTAAAGTTCAATAGATAGGAGAGCGCCAATTATAGTAACAATAGTTTCATTGCCGGCTACTAGTTAAAGGAGTAGGTATCCCAGGTAGAGTCACTGCTCACGTTTTTCCGCCTTTTCTCTCCCACCCCTAAAAGTGCTAGTTTGATTGACGGCTGCATGTTAAGTAGGTGTCCAGTCCAGACTCGCGCTATCCCTACCCTCCTCTTCCCCCCCCCGGAAAGAGTGACGTGTGGGGCTCTGGTCAAACAGTAAATCACTCGTATCGAGCGTCCCAAAACTTACTGTAAGTTACATGTCCTTGCCTTGTATTTAGTGGATTTATGTTAAAAGCTTCACTTGTTGACGCAATAATAAATTTGTCCTTTCAGTCTTGCTCGTAGGTTGACTGTTGTAATAAATCACCACGTCTTCTTTTGTGTAGAAATATACACTCGCCATGGAAGTAGTGATATTGAAGCAGTGGGTACCTGTCTATTCTATTCAGCGTTGGATGACAGTGAGGGTCACTGTCCAATCAGACTCGAGCAGAGAACAGGAGAAGAAGTGACTGAACGATCCAGAGACTTCTCCATTTTGTATTGAAGTAAGCTGCTGTCACACTGTATGATGAATTGCAGGACGTAACCCCACATCATTTCAGCGGTAATGAACTGCTTTCCTGGCATCGGGATATTATACTCACGCGGCAATAATCTGTGAAGAGACTAGCCATTGGTTGGTAACAAACACCTGCGAGCCCCACCCCCCCCCCCAATGCCCTATACAGCAAGGGCAACGATTTCCACAGTTGTCATCCAACACCAGACACCCACGTTTTTTATAACATTACAGGGTATGAGTAAGCATCTTCACCAGGGATACTCCCAGGTATATCAGGGATCTCCAGGGATACACCACGTATACTCCAGGTATACTCCGGGGATAGTCTCCCTGGGAAACTACAGGTATACTCCAGGGATACTCCAGTTATACTCCAGGTATATCCAGGGAATACTCCTGGTATACTGTCCAGGGGATATAGACAGGGGTTTACTCAAGGGATACTCCAGGATAGTATACTTCCAGGGATACTCCAGGGATACTACAGGGAATACTCCAGGGATACTCCTGGTATCCTCAGTGTTACTTCTCAGGGATACTCCAGGTATCCTACAGGGGATATTCCAGAGATACTCCAGGTATATCCAGGATACTCCAGGTATACTCCAGGGTATACTCCAGGGTAACTCAGGGATTCTCCAGTGGTATACTCCAGGGATAACTTTACAGGGTATCTCCAGGGTACTCCTGGGATTCTCCAGGTATACTTCAGGTTTACTTTCCAGGTATAATCCAGGTAGTACGTGCCAGGGATTTGACTCCAATATAACTCCAGGGGTAATAACTCGCAGGTATACTCCGGTATACTTCAGGAGTATATCTAAGGTGATCCTCTGTGGTGAGATATACTCCCAGAGGTTACTACAGGGCTACTCCAGGGGATACTCCAGGATGTACCCCAGGGGGATACTCGGGTATACTCAAGGGATACTCGCATGGGTATACTCCGGGACAACTTCCAGGTATCTCCATGGATATCCACGGTATACTCAAGGTATACTCCAGGTTACTCCAGGTATGACCTCCCGGGATACTCCAGGGTTACTCGCAGGTATACTCCAGGTATACTGTCCAGGGAGAGCTCAAGGTATACTCCAGGGATACGTTCAGAGATACTCACGTATCTCAGGTATAATTTCCAGTGGGATATGTCCCAGCGGATAGATACGACAGCGCTATAATCCAGGGATTAGACTCCAGTCTATACTCCATGCGTATACTCCAGGGATACTCCAAGGCTAGTTACTCCAAGGGATATTACCAGGGGATACTCCAGGTATACTCCAGTATTCTCCAGGGATAATCCAGGGGATACTCCAGGGATACTCCAGGGATTACTCCAGTTATCCTCAGGTATACTTACTCAGGGATCCTCAGGTATTCCCTCCAGGGATATTTCAGAGTACTCCAGGTATACTCCAGGGATTAACTCGCCGGTATACTCCTGTTACTCCAGGTATACTCCAGGTATACTCCCCAGGTGATACTCCTGGTATACTCCCAGGGATACTCCAGGTATGCCTCCAGGGATCCTCCAGGGATACTCGCAGGTGTATACTTCAGGTATACTCCGGGTATACTCCCAGGATGACTCCAGGGTATTAATCCAGGTATACTCCAGGGATACTCCAGGTATACTCCAGGTGATAGATTCAGGTGTTATACTACAGGTATCCTCAGGTATTCTCCAGAGATGCTCCAGGGATACTCCAGGGATACTTTGTTGTTTGGCCAGGTATTACATCCAGGGATACTCCAAGGATTACTCAGGGATAGACTCCCAGGTATAGCTCCATGCGGAGCACTCCGGATAATCAGGGAATCTCCAGGTATACCTCAAGGTATAATATACTCCAGGGATACTCCAGTATACTACAGGGTTACTCCAGGGTTACTCCAGAGGTGATACTCAGGTACCTTGACTCCAGGGATGCTCCAGGTATAATCAGGGATTCTCAAGGTATACTCCAGGATACTCCAGGTATACTCCAGGATAACTCCAGGTATACTCAGGGATAACCTCCAGTTATACTCCAGGTATACTCCGGGATTTTCCGAGGTATTACTCCAGGGATTTCAGGATACTCCAGGTATACTCCAGGTATACTCCTGGGGATACTCCAGGGATACTCCTGTGGGAGGTTATCCAGGGTTACTCCAGGTATACTACAGGGGGATACTCCATGGTATCTTCTCCAGGGATTACTCCGGAGATAGCTCCAGTATACTCCAGGGATTACTTCGCAGGTATAACTCCAGGTATACTCCAGGTATACTCCAGGGATACTCCAGGTATACTCCAGGGATATCCAGGGATACTCCAGGGATACTCCAGGTATACTTCAGGGTGAGTTTCTCCAGTATACTCCAGGTGAATACTCCAGGTATAGCTCCAGGGATACTCTCCAGAGTATACTCCAGGTATACTTCAGGTTATGGTGGTTCCAGGCTCACCATGTTCCAGTAGACCAGGTGGTCCCTCTCATCATGTTCCAGTTAGACCAGGTGGACCCCTCTCCAGCAACTATGTCCAGTAGACCTGGTGGTCCCCCTCACCAAGTTCCAGTAGACCAGGTGGGTCCCTCACTCCAAGCTCCAGTAGACCAGGTGGTCTCCTCGAACCATGTTCCAGTAGACAGGTGGTCCCTATCACCATGTTTCCAGTAGACTAGGTGGACCCCTCACCAAGTTGCCAGTGAGAGCTGAGTGAGTGGTCCCCTCCACCATGTGCCAGTAGGACCAGGTGGACTGCCTGTAGCTCACCATGTTCAGTAGACCAGGTGGTCCCCCTCGACCATCTCCAGTAGGTACCAGTGTTGGGTCCCCTCACCATGTTGTCCAGTAACGCAGGTGGGACCGTCCTCTGCCTTGTTCCAGTTGACCAGGTTGGACCCTTCAGCCATGTTCTGCAGTAGACCATGGCGGTCCCTCTCATCAATGTTCAGTAGACCAGGTGGACCCTCACTATGTGTGCCAGTTAGAGCGGTGGACCCTTCACCATGTTCCAGTAGACCAGGTGGTCCTAGATACTCACGCCATGTTCACAGTTATACCAGGTGGCACCCAGCACTGTCCTAAGTTCCAGTGAGCAGGTGAGAGTCCGCCTGTCACCAAGCTCAGTATAGACCAGGTGGTCCCTCCTCACAAGCTCCAGTTGACCTGGTGGACCCATCACCAAGATGCAGTGTATAGAGACCAGGTGGACCCATCACCAAGATTCCAGTGAGACCAGGTGGACATCTCGCACCAAGTTCCCGTAGACCAGGTAGGTCATCACCAAGAGCCATAGTTTGTCCAGGTGGTCCCCTCGTACAAGTTCCAGTAGACAGGTGGCCCTCACCAAGTTCCAGTAGACAGGTGGACATACTCGCACCAATTCCTTTGAGAACCCAGGTGGAGCATATTACCAAGTTGTCCAGTAGACAGGTGGACCCCCTCACGCCAGTAGTTCAGTTAGGTCCGAGTGTGGACGCATCTCAACATAGTTCCAGTAGTCCAGGTGGACATTCATCACCAGTTCCAGTATAGACCAGGTGGAATATCACCATTGTTCCAGATACGACCAGGGGACCCTGTAACATGTTTCAGTAGAGAGGTTGGAACCTCGCCATGTGTTTCAAGTAGAGACAGGTGGACGCCTCACCCAGGCCGCCGGATTACCGCATAGCAACTAGGCATTTGCCTTGGGGCCTCCGCTGCATTTGGTAGGGCCCGGCGGTCCAGGGGTTCAGGGGCTCATCCAAGACTGCACACATGGTGCAAGTGGCAAAGGGGTCTCCCTTACCTAAAAAAGTTCAAGTGTTTGGACCAGGTAAAATTGATTTTTTAAAATTAAATCAAAACAAAAATTATATGAAGATAAAATAATATATAATTAAATAAAACCGAACTCATAGATTGGCAAAGAAGAAGGATCATCTACACTGTCTTTTGTGCTACATCAGAAAACAGCTGTGTGTTTTCCCGCTAATAGGGTTGAGTATGGGAGAATTCCTCTCCAATTTTCTGAGTAGTTATGTGATGATTTTGATGTCTTGATGCATGATGCCATTGATAACAAGAAAATGGTCAGTGATTTATAACGGGAAATAATAGTGCTGTAGTGTTATGCTGAATAGTAATAGGGTACATGATGGTCCTACTTTGTATAGCCTAATCTTAGTAATTCTATCTGTTCTTGAGTTTATTCTCATTTTAAAAAATGGCATGATTTAACAAGATAGTTATAAATGGTGCTAGTTGGTAAATGGTTTTGGTTGTCTTGAGTGTAGCCTTGTACCTATTAATTTAATCGAAATATCCAGAATGTATTAATTTGACCTTTAACAGGCTCACACCGACCCCCCTCCCAACCCCACAGATGGAAGTATGGTTCGCTTCGCTTACCGTAACCACAAGGGGGCACCCACCGAATTGAATAGCCTAGGGCGGAGACTTCTAATACGGCCCTGCACCTGCCTGTTCAGTAGAACCAGGGTGTTCCCTCACCATTGTTCCATGTAGAACCAGGTGGACCCCTGCACCAAGATCCAGTAGACCAGGTGGTCCCCTCGCACCAAGTTCACAGTAGACCAGGTGGTCCCCTCACCAAGTTCCAGTAGACCAGTAGTGGACATATGCTCACACGAAGCTACGTAAGCCAGTTGGACCCCTCACCGAAGTTCCAGTAGACCCAGTTAGTCCTCTCACAGTTCCCTAGGAGACCAGGTGGGCCTCAGGCAAGGCTCTTCCAGTATAGACAGGTTGGACCTTCAGGCAAGCGCTACCAGTAGACCAGGTGGACTACACGCAAGCTGTGGGTAGACTAGGGATGGACCTTCAGCTTAGCTACAGTAGACAAGGTGGACCTCCAGGCAAAGCTCCAGTAGGGACTAGGGTGGACCTGTAGGCTAGAGTTCCAGTAGACCAGATTGGGCTCCAGCACGCTCCAGTTGATCCAGAGTGAGGACTCCAGACGCAAGCGCCAGTAGGACCAAGGTGGACGCCTTCAGGTTAGCTGCCAGCAGAGTGGGAAGCCCCACATTATTGTGGTAATGACAGTCAAGAGGACATCGAAAAGGCGATAAATGACATGGCCATGCACTCTGCCCCCAGGGCGACTCATTGAACTCTGTGCTTATTCAAGAACTGCAAGATAGCCCTCTATCATAAGGTTTTAACATCCGTGAGAAAGAGGGTAGCGGTAAGAACATGGACACGGGGGTCGTCCCACAGCTAGCGTAAAAAAGAACTCAGTCGTAGTCCCCACTATCCACAAAGGTGGCAGTATAATGCAATATCAAAGAACTACAGACCGATAGCGCTAACGTACAATCATAAAAATCTTTGAAAGGGTTTAATGAAGCTAAGATCGCGAGCCACATCGTAGATACCCATCAAGTTACACAACCCAGGTGCGCTGTGGCGTTTAGGTGTTGAGCAGGTCGTTCTCCTGCTCGGCCAACTACTGGATCACTATGACAAGTCCTGGGATGGCTCTAGAAGACAAACAGTATTCAGTAATTGTAACACAAGACAGACTTTGCAATAGAAGCTTTCGACAAGTGTGACCATGGCCGTAAGTAGACGCACAGAAGGCGTGATAAAGGAATAAAGAAAAGTTGGTAGATGGATGCAATAATTTCCTAAACATATAGGAACACAAAGGAGTGTGTTGTAAGTAACAGAGATATAGTTGAGGGCTGCTACCGTGTGAACAGCTCTGGTGTAACAAGACACGTACAGTTCCCTCGTCGTTGATGTTCCTCATCCTCATATCTGCATAGACAGGATTTGTCAGCCACAGCATCGATGTCTTCCTTGCGTAGTGACACCACGGAATTTGCATGACAGGTATTCTCTCCATGTGCAGAGGTCAACTGCAAGGCTCCAGAGTGGGACATGTCAGAACCAAATATTTAAATGGGGCTGTCTCGAAAACAAATATGAAGTCAGTGATGAGAAGATTTCGCAATTACTCGATATGTGGAAAATGGATGGGAGAAAATTAAACTTCATCGAAGTTTAAAACAAATGTCCAACCACAAAATAGAGCGGAACTGAAACACCAAACGTCAAAAGGACGTGTTGGAGTGATCATGTCGGAGGGGATCTGTCACCTTCAAGGACCATGAACATTGTAATATCAATGCGCGCATCGTATCTGCCTAGAAAAATGGTCAGGTATGGATAATGAGAACCTTCAAAACTTGGGATGACCAAGGCCCTGTGAGTAGACACTGTCTTCAGGTCGCTTGTCTATCTAGGCGGAATGATGTGCTTGCACACTATACACCACCTTTTCCAAGGCAGCGTGAAAAATTTCTGACCTAGAAAAATGTAGCAGAGAACCTTCACGGCGCGCATAACGGAGATAAAAAACACGTCAATTACTGGGGATGCACTTTGAAGTGTCCTGAACTCTGTATCCTGGAATGCATGGGCGTGAAGATGATACATGATTATATAGCATTGGGAAATAAAAAAAAAAATCTCTAGAGGGAATAGTACCGAGACAGTGTGACCACACGAAAATCAACTCACAACAGAAAGCAAAAAGTCTCTGCAGAGACGATGCCACCATCCCCTCAATGAAAGCGTCAGGGGTGGTCAATAACACGTTAAGAGACAAACACAATAATGTCAGAGTGATCCGAGACTGATCTGTTCTGACCTCGCCAGCATAGCATAAGGGGGGTGTGTTACAATAGACCCATGGTGTCGCTGTCAAGAAGTCACTGGGACCAAGCACCTAAAGTCGGGTACCATTGACAGCAGGGATGTTGTTCGTACGTCGGGGTTGGCGCTGCGGCCAGCATTAACTAGACCTGTTTAATGCAGAGCCCTGATCCAGCCATGAGGCCTGGTCACAGACTGGGCCGCAGGAGCGTTGACCCCGAAACTCTTGTCCAGGTATCATCAGGGTCCAATCATAGACTATCAGTCATGGGGTCCAACTATAGACTATCATCATGGTCCAACATAGACTTCATGTTCCAACATAGGGTTTCATCATTGGTCCACATTAGACTTATCCTCATAAGTGGTCCAACATAGTAGGACTGTCATCATGGTCCAACATAGGCTATCATCATGGGCCAACAAGGGATATCATCATGGTTCCAAGACATTGATTATCTCATGGTGCAACTAGACTAAAAATCATGGTCCGCATCCAACATAGTAGATTTTCATCTGGTCCAACATGTAAACTATTCATCATAGAGTGCAACATAGTCTATCATCATGGTTCAACATAGAGACTATCTATCATATGAAGACTGATCATCATTCATGGAGACCAACATAGTATATCATGGTTCCAACATAGGACTATCATCATGGTCCAAAACAGTAGACTATCAATCATAGTCATAGTATCATCATGGTCCAAACATAGACTATCATTCATGGTCCTAACATAGGACTATATCATGGTTGCAAACATAGGCTACATATGGTCAACATAGACTATTCATCATGGTCAACATAGAATATCTGGTACCAAGACATAGACTATCATCAAGGTCCATCTTAGTTATCATCGGTTCCAAAGTTAACTATCATCATGGTGTCACATAGGACTATCTGGTCCAGACATTAGGACTATCGCATTCATGGGTTCTCCACAGATAGTGTAGTTCATTGGTCCAACATAAACTATCATCGCATGGTCCAAACCATAGACTGTATCATGGGACGAACATAGATATCATATGGTCCAAACATAGGCTAATGTGTCTAACATAGACCATCATCCTTTGGTCGCCAACATTAGGACTATCATCAGCGTCCAACATAGGCTATCATCATGGTCAAACATGTTACACTATCATAGCATGTGGTCCATGTACATAGACTATAATCGGTCCAACATAGGACTTTCATCCTGGATCCACATGAGTAAGCTATCTTCATTGGTCCAACATAGACTATCATTCATGGTCCTAACATAGGTCTATGATCATGGTGCCACATAGACTTATCAACATGGTCCAACATAGAATATCAGTGGTTCCAACATAGGACTATCATCATGGTCCA